TTAATAGCTTTAATTGTTGTTTATAACTTGTTTTGGTTAGTCAGTTTTTGTTATTTTTTTTAACATATATAATTAACCAAGACCGAAAACCTATAGCACTAATAATTTCTGTTTGTTTCCTAGTTCTTTTTTTTCAACACTTTTATTTTAGATAATTGCGCTGTTGTAGAATGGTTTATTTGTAATATGTGATCTCTGTTCGATTAGATTAGCCAAAATAGCTGAAACGTCGGCTACATACATAAAAAACTATTTTTTTATAAATCCTGCTCAAAACCCATCAATTGCTTAACATCGAACGAGAAGCAGTTAAATTTTTGCTTTTAGCCACTAAAAGTATATAGAGGGAGAAAATAAAAAAAATAAACTTTGTTCCCAATTAAATTCTGTGACAAAAGCCCTTTTTTTTAATATTTAACACCCTGTATTTAACCATCTCCCGGTCCTCGTTGATATGAATTAGGGCATTGCAAATATATTGTTTTAAGCATCGAATTTAACAAATTTGAGACATAATATCCCTTTTTAATTAGGCGATCGGTGGGTTTAAAAATCTTAAAAATGAAAATGGACTCCTACGTTTGCCTTGACATTTTCCGTAATTAACTGGCAATATTTTTTGAGTTTTTGCAAAGTTATCGCTGCATCTTTAACGTAACGAAATTGATTTGCATGTTGTCGTTTTTTTTAATTACACTTGGTTGGCTCTTAATCATAATTGCATCATATCTATCGATTAAAGGAAACATTATGTGCCAATGACCTTTTGAAAAGCGCATATCGGGACAATTCGATCGTTAACCTGAAACATGTAATGGTATACGTCTTAACCCGATTAGTTTATTTTCCATTTGGCACTTACTATTATCCAAACGTAATTATTATTTATTACGGTAATTTCGTGTCAAGGTATCTGTTACATTATCCCCGGTAAATAAATATCTATTTATAATCGAGCCGATTAGCGGAGAATTCGAAATTGTTTTTAAGCGATTTTATCCGCGCTAAAGGTTAATTTTATTGTTGTTTTTCAGTTTCGCGTCCATGTTTTGTTTTTTTCTCGAGAAGAAATCGCGGATAAGTGATAATTTACGATTAACTGTTTTATTCTGACGTTAAAAAAAAACATATTTCGTAATACGTGGGGTTATAATTTTTTTATCGCACAAAACGAATCTGCAGCAGCTATAACGTCAGAAAAGTGTGAAGTAATACAAACATATAAATGAATATGCAGACGTGAATGAGCTGCTTCTAATTCACCAATCTGAGGTTAGGAAAGGATAGCTCGGTTACTTCCTTATTGACTTTGTGTGACGAAATCCTGAGAGCGAGTGACAAGTCTTTGGCGACAGCTCTTGTATCAATTGACTGACTGATGGTAACAGCAGGAAATGTTCGCTGGATGTGCCAGTTTCGCGGGGCACAAGAATTATCATACTACATGCGGACTCTGAAGCTGGTTGAGTAGATAGCGCTTTGTTGGTTTCTGTAAAAGATGTTAAAGAAGCAAAGGTTGACTACCACGAAAACATGACAGCAGACATCTTAGAAAAATTGTTTTCTGAAAAATTGCTTCCCAATATTTCACCAAACAGTGTTGTCGCGATGAACAACGCCAGCTACCATTCTGCACAAGCGGAAAAATACCGAATTCATCATGAACTAATTTTTTTGCTTAAAAATGATATGTATCTTGAAAATTGCTACACAAAGAAGCAGTTATTGGAAGTTTTTACAAAAAGGAACGTTTGATAAGATGATAAGATAATGTGGACTGCCAGTTTAATCCAATAGAATTGATATGTTTAGTTAAAGAAGAAACAACACCTCGAAAAAGTTTGGTTCTGGGGTAATAGAATAAATTAGAAGTGAAGTAAATAAAAAATATTTGCTTCTGGTTGGAAAAAATGTGTAGAACATGTCACCGAAGAAGAAAATGTTTACAGAAGTCGGCTAATGCCAAAATAGTTATTAATGTGGGGGACGAGTGATGATAGTGATTATTTTGATGTGGAACAACTTTATTTTTATAAATATTCTAACATTGTTTTATGGCTAAATTTACTCCATTTATTTTTATAATAAACATTTTAAAGTAAGAATGGATCTTTCACTGCATGGACTAATAATAATCCGGAACGTCATTGCGGAATTGCGAATCTGTTTATTAAGAGTTACAAAGAGAAACCCAAGCGAGGTAGGCCTGTGGTTAGATCTTCATAAAAATTTACCCAAGTTAAAAACTGGATTATATCCTAAAAGCGGTATATCTTTTGGAGAACTCTACTAGATACCGCACTATTAATCACGATTGCCAAACGTAGCTATATTGGATATGGCGGAAGAATGTCAAATTTTCTGCAACCAAATAAAAAAAGGTACAGCGAAACAATTAGCTCTCGTCAAGCTACTTTTTGCTGATGGTACACAATTGCGAAAATATAGCCAGTTTTACGGAGGGATATAATTTACGCCCAAACCCACCAAAGTGTAGTGTTTATTTTATTTGTTTTAGTATTTATTATTATATAGTGTTTATTTTTATTTAGACACCGTGACCTCTCATCCGCTACAGAAAATTTAGACTAATTGTCGCTTTATTTGTAACTTACGCAAAATTAAAATAATGTTAAAATTAAATTTTCTTGGATTTTGCTTTAAAATCAATGACAAACAATGCAAATGGCTTAAGTATTCATTCGGTCACTTTGAATACCTAATAAGATTTTATCACTCTACACAATTCGGAAATGGACTTTAGCTATGTCGACATTATATCTGCAGCTAGTTTTACCTATAGATTTGAAATATACGCATTCTTATAACGCATGTATTATTAATATGAAATAATTGGGCCCCAACTTTTCCGCCCGATTTTGCCAAATTGGGAAAACGAGATGGTGTTGTAAGCGTTATTAAATTATATCCCATTACGTTGGGTTCCTACGAGTTGCGAAATTACTTAGTGTAAACAACTATTATTATTTATCTTTTAAATGGATGGATTAAGTCTAGTAGTTAGTTATCGAAAGAATAATAAAATGAATCAATTAATTTTTATTTATTTCATTTATTTCAGTGGTACTCGAGATTCTTTTATTATCTGCAAATTTAAAACACTTTGATTATACTTATTAATATCCCCGCAACTTATTTGTGCAATAGTGTTCATTTCATATTTCAAAAACGTATTTATCTCGTCAAAATAACAAGGCGAAACCTTGTTAGAAATATACATTACTTCTCAAATCGAATCCATCAAGGTTGTTATGTGCATTGAGTACTGTTACTAAATATTCCACCATTAGCATTTACTTCTTATCGTTGTCGAAATACGTACAAGATCCGATAAAAAAAAATAATAATACCATAATCTCGATCTTGTAGATAAATTGCCACAAAGTTCATAAGAGCTTCAATAAACGATTTGTTATTTGGCCATTGTTATGTATTTTTGAAACCAAAGCAATGGCGCTTAATAAAGCACGCAGAAATGACAGATTATGTGACACCTGGAACCTAGGTGTGAAAAAAATCTGTATGTGTGTTTCAATTTAACTCACATTAGGTGAGAATAAAATTTGAACATTCACTAACCCAATAGCTAAACATAATTTAATTACACACAGTGAACACACTGAAATTTAATTTAATTGATCTTATTTTATTTTTTGAGTAAAATTTTCAAGCTCGACTTTCAGGTTTAGTTAAATTTCTGTTTAATAAGCAACTTTTTGTACTTTTAATTAATTGCTAATTATAGAGTCGATAGCTAGTTGCGTTGATACCTTTCGAGTGAGTTCTTAAGTGAAAGAGAAATAAAATATTTCTGTAACATCAAAATCCACTGCGTATTATTTTAATCAGTGTTGGGGCTGATTGATTACTTCTGAACGATCAAAATGTTTTAAACAACATCTTGCAATTCACTTGCACTCAGAAAAAAAGGTTAATCAAAAAATATAACACTTTCAGTACATTTGAAAATATTTTGATATTTTGATTAATCAACCTTTAGCGTTTATATTTTAAGGGCAGTCGGTTGGTAATTCTAAAACATTTCTTTAACATTTTAAAAAGAAAATAGGGTTTGTTGGCATGTTACTTTTACCAGCCAATGGAACAAAGGGGGCCTACAATTAATTCAATAAAAAAATAATAAAAATTTATAAGAAAACCCGCTACATTAATTTTCCACATGCCTGAAACCAAAAAGGAGGTTTTCTAGTCTAGGCATAGTGTTAGTCGAAAAAAAGGACTTTCCTTACAATTTATAATGATGACCTCTTTGCATTAAATCTATAACATGTTTAAATTGTTATTATAAACATTTAAAATAATATTTTGTGACGCTTTTGTTATCTATTAATTATTATTTCAACGCTTTCCTTTTCAATCCAAACGCAGGCAATACTTTTATTTTAATAATAATAAAAATAAGTAATAAAAATTATTATGCACATGTTAGTTTCAAGAGGACATTTAGCTTCTTATTAATTTATTAAAAAGTTTTTATTTTAAATTCCACAACGTTTTTTTCTCTGAGTATATCCCCCCTCTTCGAGGGATATTTAGCGATTCCATTTAGTGCGTTACGTCGCACAACATAAATAAATATAAATTTCAATGTATTTCCACAACCATAATTTTACCCCATACACTTCAATTAGGACGTCAGAAACTACATTAATAAAAACGTTGGCAATATATCTCAGAGTTTATGATTATAACATAATTTTTTTTTCGTATCAAAACGAGCAAAATTTTATTCGGTTATTTAGTTTCGATAATATTTACTAATAAACATCTTCACGGGCTAACCTCGATCGCCCCGTACCCCGTTCAACAGTCGTCAATATCGTTCGAGGACTGGGTATTATAATCTTGAAAATTACGTCACAATACAGTATATAAACTCGAGACGAAATCATAACGTTACGCGCTTTATCTCTCTGCCGATAAAGTCATAAAAAAACCATATGGACACGAAAACTCACCGGATCCTCTCGGGCAGCTCGATCTTGGTCTTCTTTTTGGAGTGGGCCCCGTGATGCACCGGCGAGACGCTCGGCTCGCTGCCCGACGTCGGCGGCGAAGACGACCCTGAACTTGAGCAGGAAAGGCTACCGGTGCGATTCCTGCCATCCGCCACAGCCGGCTGCGTGGCCGACACCGTCAGCGTCGGTTTACCGTTACGATTGCGACGCTTTTTCTTTTTCCCGGTATCCACTTCCTCGATCCGGCCGAAAATGTTGCTGGTCGGCGGCGGAGGCATCCAGTCCAAGTCCTTTTTCAGGTGCCCCCGTCCGCATTTGCAACCGCACGCCTTGTACGCCAGATCGTAACCCTTCTTGGTCCAGAGGTTCTGGTGACGTTGCCTCTCGGACCAAGAGCGTGCCCTGCCGCACGTTTTCAAATAGGCGAGCACCGTCTGTTCCCACTGATCGAAACACTCCCGATGCATGTATCTACCGACCGTGCACAGTTCGTTATTGCATGTCACCCTCACGGTATCGCGAAGATCGTCCAGCAAAATAATCATCGGGTCGTTATTATTGGGATTGATGTGCGACTGTTGCTGCACCCGCAGACATTCGCCCGTGGGCACGCAGCAACGCGTGTAACCCTGCACCAGGGGGGTGGACTCCTCCACCAGGGAGTCGATGACGCCCAAAAGACCTTGAACTTGTCCTAGGTGACGCCGCGGTGCCATGGCCCGTCCTCCTCCTCCACCTCCTACGCTCCGTCCTCCTCCTCCACCTCCTACGCTTAGGCGAATGTTGGTGCTGTTGCGTGGGAAGCGCCTGCTGCTGCTGCTGCAGTCTGACCTTCTGTACCGTGCGCTGCCACCGCGTTCTCTTACGGGCGATTCTGTGTGCGTGCGTGTAAGCGTATGTCTACTTTCCGGCTCTTTCCGAAGCCTACTACTACTAGTCTGCTGCACGCGGCGGCAATCGAGGGATTCACCAGAGCACGCACCGGCCTGGGGACGAAAGCGAAAGGTAGGGGTAGAGTGAGAGTGGGGGGAAAGCGCTTTTCGCTTTTCACTTTCGGTTTCGGAGAGCGCGGGCTCGCGTCGCGACGCAGGCGTCGTCGCGGCGGCGCCGCAGCCTCGGTCGGCGGGTTTCACTCTCCGCAGCCCTGACCGAGGGCGCTAAGGGCAGCGGCCGCCCCCACCCCGCGCGCGCTGTTTCGCGGGACTGGCGTTTAGTGTTTTTTTTTCGAAAATTTTTCGTGTAATGCTCTGCTAGAATCGCTCCTTGAAAGGATAGAAATAAATACGGAATCTTGAAATTTCTCGTATAAACGGAAACTTTCGCGTTTTACCTCGAAATTTCAACATTTTTAAGTTAAACTCGGACTTGTCACTAGAAATTTAAAAAGTTCAAGTTTTGAACTCAAAGTTTCGGGTTTTATATCAAAATGTTAAATTCGAGTTATTATACGAAAATTAAATGTTCGTATTTTAACTTAAAATTTCGCGCTTTATCTAGAAATTTCAAAATTTCTTGTTAAATTCGACTTGTTACTCGAAATTTGAAAAATTCGTGTTTTACCATAATTAAATAATTAGTAATTTTACCTTCAAATTTCGTGTTTCATCTCGAAATTTAAAAATTTCTTATTAAATTTGACTTGTAAGTCGAAATTTTAAAAGGTCGCGTTTTAACTGGAAATTTGAACTCAAAATTTCGTGTTTTATATCAACATTTCAAAATTTCCTGTTAAATTCGAAGACGAAATTTTAAAAAATCATGTTTTATCAAAATTAAATAATAATTGCTTAATTAAATAATTAATTTATAACTTTACCTTAAAATTTCTTCTTTTATCTCGAAATTTTAAAATTTTGAATTTAAATTCGATTTGTCACTAGACATTTTAGAAGTTCGTGTTTTAATTCGAAATTTGAGCTCAAAATTTCGTGTATATCAAAATTTTAAAATTTTCTGTTAAATTTGTTTATACTGTTTGTAAACTTGTTATACGAAATTTAAAAGTTCGTGTTATAACTCAAAATTTTACTTTAAATTTTCGGGCTTTATCGAGAAATAAAAAAGTTTCTTGTTAAATTCGACTTTTTACACGAAGTGTTTCACCATAATTCAATAATTAATTATTTAAATTAATAATTAATAATTTTACCTTAAAATTTCGTGTTTTATCTAGAAATTAAAATATTTCCTGTTAAATTTGACTTGTAACTCGAAAGTTCGCATTTTAACTCGAAATTTGAACTCAAAATTTCTTAACTTATATCAAAATTTTAAAATTTCTTGTTAAATTCGACTTGTAATATGAAATATAAAAGTTCTTGTTTTAGCTCAAAATTTGACCTTCTTTGAATTCTAATTTAGCTTGTTTTCCTAAAACCGCGAAATTTAAAAATTTTGGGTTAAATATCGAAATTTTACCCCAAGAATTTTGAGTTACATAGAATTTTGAAATTTCCAGTTATAAGTCGAAATTTTAAGAATGGACAATTTTTGAATTTTTATATGGTTAAGGCGTTATTGACTGGATTTGGTTTTTGATAATTAGATAGTTTGATAGTTTAAATTAAGTAAGTACTACAGAAAAAAGGCGAAAAGCTGCTTCATTCGCAAGCTTAGGAAGCCAATTTCTATTTTTTACGTAAAAAAATAGGATCTCAACTTTTCCGTTAAAGCAACTTTTTTCTTTCAAATTTTCGTAAAAAGTTTGTAACTTTACATACATTATATATATATATATATATATATATATATATATATATATATATATATATATATATATATATATATATATATATATGTATATATATATATATATATATAAATTTCTTTAACAATTTCGCTAATTTCGGTGTTTCTGTGAAATGGTGTATATTGTAAAATCTTTTACAAAATTTTGTAAAGGAAGTGTGACTTTAAAAAATAATGGTAGTCGTTCCCCTACGCTTTCGTAGTTCCCACACATACATGGACGATGTCGCGTTTTCCCAATTCACTGGTGCATCTCACATTGTCAAATGTCGATCCCATGACGCTGGCTGGCGTCCATTACACACTGTCTACGCCATGCATAAATAAATCAAATGTCATAATCGTATTTGTTAAGCTAATGCGGACCGTCCGATCCATCCAGAAATTATTCAGTTGCGGTTTGATGGCTTGACACGTCAAGTTTCTGATTGCTGTACAAATAGTGATTTAATATCGATAATACGCGATTTGTTTTATTAGCCTCTCGTGCTGTCGAACGTAGAAATTCTTTATGAGATAAACCATAAAAATTAGGAAATAAAACACGTTCACTATCGATAGGTCATTGCTGAATTATTGATTGATCTACATGGTAATCATTTGTAGACCCAGCAATTATCGGAGTACTGAACGATAAAGCCATAGTTGTGACATATCGATTAGTGGAATTAACTGAACTACCTTGGGAAAAATCATTGTAGATTTTTCTATTATAATAATAGATACGATATACTTTTATGGCATCATTGTATGTCAAAGTTTTAATAGCTGGATTTCTATCGTATGAGAATTTGATTCCAGGACTTGACTGGTAGTAGAAACGTAAAATTGGTAATAACAAAGTGAGTTATTCCCAATTTGTGGTCAAATTTTATCGCTGAGTACAAGTTTTTTGTTGCCTTTGACTATAAAACATAATTGATAAACACATTCCCAAAAGAATGTGTTCAGTTGAAATGATTTAGAGCCGTCCCAGTTAAAACACAAATATTTTAATAGAATAGAATAGAATAGAATAGAATTTATTGGCCATTCAGATACGTCACAAAAACAACAAATGGTACGTCAAAGGTTAACAATACAAAAGAATTTATATATATAATATAAAAGGTTGTACAATTTTTGAGAACTAACACACTAACGCAGTGGTCTATTCAAGTGTAGAATGTTTGATCAACTCCAAGTATTCATTAATATCATAGAAAGGATTATCAGTAAAAAAACTTTTCATTCTCTTTTTAAATAACAATAATAGTAATAATAATAACAATAGATCTGTTAGGCATAGTTAGCGTATTCTCCCGATATTTACGAGGTTAGTGCCAAAATTTACCGGCCTGACATAGATGCAGGTCCAGTATCGCGATAAAACTTTGTCTTCTTTTAAATATATATCCTAGTAGGCTGTGAAAAAAAATTGAAATCTTGCGTCAAATAGTTTTTTATTGACAGCATTTTAAACAAGACTTGTCCGAAAAAATGTCGCTAATAACGCAAATTGAGTATAGAGCAGTCATAAAGTTTTTGACAAAAGAAAGGTTAGCACCTAAAATTATTAAAGGGCTGGATGGTGTCTACGGCCAAAGTTCTTTTTCGTATTCTGTAGTGAAAGAATAAGCAAAACATTTTAGAATGGAGCGGGAGTCCCTTGAAGATGATTCAAGAACTGGTCGACCAGTGGAGGTCATAACGGAAGATATTGTTCCGATTGTGAAAGAGGTGGTATTGAGTGATCGACGTTTAGAGGTCAAGGGAATCTCAGAAATTACTAAGCTTTCTGATACAAGTGTTCGTCGAATTCTGCATGATCATTTAGGTATGCATAAGGTTATTGCAAGATGGGTTCCTAAAAACCTTTCGGCTATTCAAAAACAACGCCGTGTCGAGTGTGCGCGGTCTTTTTTGGAACTCTGTGGGCCGGAACCGAAGCCTGTGATAGAAGCTATTGTGACGGGGGATGAAACTATGGTTCTCTATTATGACCCTCTATCGAAAAAAGAATCAATGGAGTAGCGTCGTAACCACCTCCAAGAAAATCTGCCAGTCAACAAAAAAGGTGATGGCCACGGTCTCTTGGGATTGTGAAGGAATTCTTTTGATATATTTTAAAGAAACTAATACCACTGTCAATGGTAAATATTACGCTTATTACATAAATTGCGAGACTGCATACATGTAAAACGTCGAGGAAGACTGACCAGAGGCGTGCGTCTTTTGCACGATAATGCACCTGTCCATACTACTGGTTTTGCACAAGCTGCAATTTTAGAGTGTGGGTTCCAACAGCGACTATGATTTGTTTGGATATTTGGAAACGGTTTAACGGCGAAGTTTAGTTAAAAGAGGCTGTTTTAGCTCATTTTGCAGACAAACCAAAAGAATATTTTTTGAAAAGGGTTGAGTTGTTAATAAAGAGATGTAATAAGTCTATTGAAGTTAAGGGGGATTATATTGAAAAATAATAAACAATTGTTACTCTACTTTGTTTCTTTCATATTCAGGCCGGGAAATTTTGGCGCTGTCCTCGTACGTTATGGGTGTCACAGCGAAAAACTAGCTTATCTTTTAAATAGGGAAGGCTAGATGACTTTAAGATCTTGTATATCAACACAGCGAATAGGTACTCAAATAAATTCTCAACCATTGCAACAATTTAATTTTAAACCTACAACTGTGGTTTTGTATTTTTGGAAGGCGTCGACGACAGTTTTTTCCTAACTCTAAAGTTCAATTATTATTGGTATATAGAATCTTAAGTAGTTTAAGTAAGTTCTTTTACTTAAATTTGAAATGTGCTCACTAAATCTTAATGATACGTCTACCGTTACTCCTAAATTTTTGGCCTTGGTAGCACACGACAAGTGTTCCCCATTTATCTCAAAATGCAAGTATCTTTTCAGGAAGTGCATTGCAGAGTCCTTAACCTTAAAGCATGTCTTTCACTATAAGTAAAAACCTGATGCTTAAGTGTTTATGTCTCATTTTATTTGAATTATAACCTTCAATTTTGCTATTTATGTGATATTAATGAACTTTGATTATGGCTTTTCTGTATATTTATTTGTTAAGGTGGAATTGAATAAGTTATTTAGGTTGTATTTTCTCTTTGTCTGTAACTTCTTCATTGCCGTGTCTTCTTGAAAAACTTCACAACTCAAGTGTCCCATTACTTTAGTGCCACATGTTTCTGTCAGCCTTGTGTTCCTTCCCGCTTGAGCGCGATCTCCCACTTTTGCACTTCGGGTTGATTTTAGTTT